CCACCCACCTGTTGTCCAAAAGGCTTTCGACCACATCCTCTCGGCCATCGAGGACATATCAGGGCAAATCGGACACAATTATCTCAGGGACAAGTAAGTGACCGCAGATTCGGGGCGTGGCTGCACCTCTGCCTCGGAACCTGGTCCTCTCCCCCTCTGCCACAGGAGCACAGGGCGCTGGATTCCACTGTAATGTGGACCCCACGAAACCCTAATTTCAGAACAGTAGAGGAGCCGGAATGTCCCGTCCCCCCCCGCCCCCTGCACCCCGAGGTCCAGCTCACAGTGCAAGTCCCTCTTCAAGTCTGGCCCGGCCGCCTCCCCTCCTGACCGAATAACCGGTCACTGTTCTCACTGTGGACGTAGAGCCGCGGGGCGGCCGGTTCTCCGTGAGTGTGGCACTGAGTGTGGCACGTAGCCCTGCTCAGGCCCGGCCCACCGGCCCCACCCCGTCCTCGGGCGTGTGCAAAACCCCTCAATGTCGAGTTCATGAGGACACGGAGCCGTGTTTCCTGCACACTCTAACGGCGACTGTGGCCCCACGGGCGGGCAGGAGCGAGGCACGGGCCGCGGAGTGGGCACAGGGACAGAGCAGGGGTCTCCCGTGTTCCCCCCATCCTGGGACACCTGGGTGGTGGGGACACTGGCCCCGCCCCACAGGAGCCGCGCCCGCAGCTCGCCCAGCACTGACACTGTGACTCGACCCCCAGGTGGTCCAATTTTGATAGGAAATTCCTCAGCAAAATCCTCATGAGAAGGTCCGCCCAAAAGTCACGCGACCGAATCCTTAACGTGTTCCACGAGCTGAACCTGAAGGACGCCATCAGCTACGTGGCCGAGGTTCGGGGACGGGCCGAGCTCCGCGTGGGTGGGTTGCCGGGGCACGAGGTTCGGGGTGTGGACGGCCACCGGGGTCTGCCTGCCCCCAAGGCTACCGGGCGGGTGGCACCTTACTGCTCCTGATGGCTCACCCACAAGTCCACGTGAGTCTCAGGGGTCCTCCGACACCTCGAGAACGGGTTGTCACAGCTCCCTGTCACTCACAGGAAACAGGCACGGACCCTGCCCCATGACACTGTAGCACACGGAGCTAGGGAGTGATGGGTCCATGACGCCCAACATACACAGACACACGTGCTCACGCACACGCAGGGTACACAGCTGGGGACGAGCTGTGGTTCTGAGGTGGCCTTGACATCTCCCGGTCCCTCCCGCACCCACAGAGCCCCTACCTTCTCCGGGCAAACGCGTCTATCCCCAGGTCTCTGAGACGGCGCCCCGCCCACAGTGGCCGCTGCACCCAGGGTGGGACGTCAAGGAGCAGGGCTCAGGTGGCATATGGGAGGGTGAGGGACAAGCCCACCGCGTGCTGTGGTGACACCCAGCATCTCGCAGTTTCTGACACCACCTGCTTTGTGCCGACCCACAGCCACTCACAGTTAGGACTCGGATGTGTCACGTAGGACACGAGTCACAGTCGGTCTCAGGTCCCCTCATGGGACACACGGCCCAGGGCCCACTTCCCCAGTGGCCACGCACCTGCTGGCAGAGCTTCTAGCTCCTCAGTACACACGCGTGGCCACCACATGGCCGTTATGGCCATCACCAGGCCACCCCTGCCACGCGCATATCCTCATGCATGCCCCTGGGCCCCGAGGTCACCTGCTCCCTGCGATGGCCTGGGTCCAGGCAGGCCCCGAGCCTGCTCTTGCCCTGTCCCTGAGTGACCTGTGACAGTGACTTCCGGGCTGTCCCCATAGTGGCAGCTGGTGCCCACAGTGGCGGGGTCACCCACAGCCCTGCCCAGGTGGCCACAGGTCATGGCTCCACAGTCCCTGCCCATCTCTGGCCCCTGTCCCCACACCAGCTGGGGCCTGTGTTCCCCAGGAGTGCCGGGGCCTGTCAGCACCCCGTGGCCCCACACTGAGGCCACAGTCGGGGGCCTGGAAGCTGCTCTCAGCTCCGAGGGGAAGCGACTCCTGCCCCCAGCTGCCTCATCCACCCCACACACGGCCGGGTCACCAGAGAGACACTGTGCTTCTCGGGGCCGCAAAGAGAGGAGGGGAGGGACCCTCAACCATCGCTGAGCCTGTGCTCCCTGACCCTATTCCCTCAGAACCCGCGCCCTGATGCGGGTGACACGGCCCCCAGCCCTGGCACGGGGGGCTCCCGGTCAGGCCTGCTCAGACTGAGCAGGGCGCCACGCGCACCTCTGCAGTGAGCAAGCCAGGGCATGGGGTCTGCGAGCAGCAGGTGGCCCATCCCGCCGTCCCCCACAGGACGGCCCCCAGAACATGGCCCGGCCCAGCACAGCAGCTGGGTTCTGACTGGCTCTGCATGCTTTCGTCGGACTCAGTTCCGATGTCAGGCCCGAGGGTTTCCTCTTTGGAATGAGGGCTGCTGGCTCGGATGCCCGGTGGCCCAGGGGCCAGTGTCCTAATCCCGTGGGGTTTGCCATGCTTTCCTCCCCCCGCCCCCAGTGCCCTCTGCGCTGCTGTGTGCTTCAGCGCCATGGCTGCCCCTCAGCTCCAGCGAGGCCCTGGTGGTGGCTGCTGAAATCTCGGGGCTGCGGAGCAGGGGTGTGGCTGGCCCGGGCACGGTGGGGCTCGGCTCAGGCGCCGCATCCTGGCTTATGCGGGCTGTTCCCTGGCAGGGAGAGCGCCGTGGGTCCCTGGCCTTCATCCGCTCGCCCAGCACGGAGAACATGGTCAACGTGGACTTCGGCACACCGCGCCCCTCCACGGTGGAGGCGTCCGTCTCCTACCTGCTGTACGTGCCCCCGGTCACGCAGGCTCCCGTGCACGAGGCCACCCCTGGCGGGCACCTCTCAGCCCCCCGGGGCTGCCAAGGGCAGGTCTTCCCAGCTCCTCCTGGGCACAGCCACCGCGGGGGCTCCTCTGGACAGGCACCAGCCAGCGGGCATCTTGGGGCACCTGAGACGTGTCAGTGGGGCAGGCGGAGGCTCCCAGCTCGGACACTGCAGGGGGCTGGCACGGAGTGTGGGAGGGCGCGGCTGCCAGGCGCTCCACCCGCCTTCACGATCCAGGCGGCCGGTCGCGACCCCCCTGCTGCAGGGCAGAGGGCGGGCCGGGCATCCGACTGGGGCCGCTGGGGGGCTGCTCTTGGCCTCGTCGACCAGTGTCCAGGTGCCGGGCGGAGCAGGGGGTGCTGGGCACCCAGGCGGCCTCACGGCTGGGGCTCTAGTGGGGCTGCACGCTGGGCCGTAGACAGGAGCCCCGGGGGGGTCGCTGTGCCAGCCTGGGCGGTGCGCTGGGACACCCCGCCATCCCACGCAGGAGGGAGAACGTCAGTGCCGTGTGCCTGGACATGCAGTCCCTGGAGCAGAGGAGACGCAGCATCCGCGACACGGAGGACATGGTCACGCACCACACGCTGCAGCAGTACCTGTACAAGCCGCGGCAGGAGGTGGGCACCCAGCGCCCGGCCCGCCACGGGCAGCGCCCAGGGCCGCGCACGGGTCCTCCTCCCGTCGCCGCACACCTCTGGGGGGTGGGGGACAGGTCAGAGGGAGGGGCAGGGCTCAGCCTCCTGCCGTGGGGCTGCCCGGGCCCCCCTGCGGGTCACCAGCAGCTGCGCCCCGCTGTCTCCTCCGCCGCAGTACAAACACCTGTACAGCCGCCACAAGTTGACTCCTGAGGAGGACGAGAAGCAGGACAAGGAGATCTTCCGCAGGACCATGCGGAAGCGCATGGAGTCCTTCAAGTCGGCCAAGCTGGGCATCGGCCAGAACAAGAAGGCGGCCAAGCTGTACAAGCGGGAGCGCGCCCAGAAGCGGGTGAGCGCGCGGCGAGGGGCGCGTGGGGCGACGTGGGGGCGCGCGGTGGGCGGCGCCACGGACCGCTGTCAGCAACGGGGACGCCAGGGCACCCCCTGGGGACAGGTCAGGGCCCCGTGCCCGCCGTAGCCTTCCCTGTAAGCAGTTTCATTCTGTCCCTCAGAGGAACAGCAGCGTCCCCAACGGGAAGCTGCCCATGGAGAACCTCATGCACAACTTCACCATCAAGGAGAAAGGTGCGGAGTGGGGCCGGGGCGGCCGCGCTCCTCAGCGCGAACTCGGGGAACAGTGCGAGGGGCCGGGCAGGGCGCGGGGGCTGTCCTTGCCGGGAGACCCTCCCCTGCAGGCTGCTGTCCTGCCTGTGCAGTGGAGGTGATGACACCCCTCAGGGTGCACTGGGAACCCGTCAAGAGCACTGGACCTGGGTCACCCTCGTCCCCAGCCCATGTCCCTTGTGCTGCCCCTCCTTCACCACCAGATTTGGAACTTTCGGACCCGGAGGAGAACCCCGACCACGACGTGGAGGAGATGAGTGGGGGGATCGAGTTCCTGGCAAACGTCACCAGGGACACAGCAACAGACTCCCCCTCAGGTGAGGGGACAGGGGCAGCCCTCTGCTGCCCCAGAAGCGAGCACAGTCCTCGGACTGTGGAACTGGGGGGCCTAGGGCTGTGCGCCTGCAGGTGGCAGGCTGGGGTCTCTGCTCTGAGGAGGGAGCTGTCACCCATCCTGCCCACGGCGAGGGTTGGGAGAGCATGGGGGAAGGCCTGAAACCCCGAAGGCACGTGGCCCTGACCTTCCAGGTGACCTCCAGTTGCTGGCCACAGGATGTGCTGGTGTCTGACACCCGGGCAGCACCCTCCCTCTTGCTGTTCGGGCTGTGTGGGGGGAGCTGACCAGCCACCGACCTTTCTCCTAGGAATTGACAACCCTGTGTTCTCCCCGGACGAGGACCCAAGCATCCTGTCCAGGATGCCACCCTGGCTGTCCCCCGGGGAGACGGTGGTGCCCTCCCAGAGGGCCCGCGTGCAGATCCCCTACTCCCCGGGCAACTTCCGTCGTCTGACACCCTTCCGCCTCAGCAACAAGTCAGTGGACTCCGTCCTGCAGGCCGAAGGCCCCAAGGAGCAGCCCCACACCTCCCTGCCTGAGTCCATGCACATGTAACTGGCCCCTCGCCTTCCCTGAACCCTAACTCCTGCTCTCTCCCTAGCTCCTCTGCCACTCTCGGCTCTGGACCTGACCTCCGCAGACTTTCTCCCGTAGCTGCCCTTCCTCCTGCTAAGCCTGTTCTCAAAGCCTCTCACTCTGCTGCACGTTTCTTAGGAGACCTTCTGACTCTGCTTCTTGCTTCTGCAGCTGGGATGTCGGGATCCAGAGCTGTTTCAGGATTTGACTATTTTAGCTTCTTGATTAGAATTCACTCTTAGATTGTCAGTTTGACCACTAACGACTAACTACTCTGAAATAGTGTTTGATCCCTGTGGCCAGCCATGAGTCCACGTCACACGCTCATAGGGGACCGGGCACTGGCCTGGCGGGGTGCTATGTGGAAAGGGAACGTCTACCTTCCTCCCTGATGGCCCCCGGGCCTTGGGAAACACCCATGTGACAAGTGAGTCCAGGAGAGAAGCAGTGGGTCCCTTTTACCCTTACAGAGAGGAGTGTGCACGTTGGGGTCCCTGAGGGCCAGGAGGGGGAGGGGTGGCCACATGGCACCCAGCCGACTAGCATCCTTGCTGCAGGCCCTGTGCTAGGGGTGCCCTCCAGGATCAAAAGAGGGGAGAAGGCGAGGCGAGGGTGGTGGGCAAGGAAGGGGCCAGGCCCCATTCAGTAGGTGCTGCAGGGTGCTCTTGCTGGTCCCATCAGGTGTTGCCCCCACTTTGCATTCCACAGGGGAGTTCGGCCCCTTTGGGCAGGGTTCTGGGCTTATCTCACATGTCGCTTGAGTGTTTGGTGGGTGCATGGGACGAAGCAGAGAGCAAGGCGTCCCCCAGCATAGGTGCGGCAGGCCCACTCTGGGTTTCACCTTGTTTCACCTGAAGCAGGAACACCTGTTTCTCTCTCTCCTGTGGACACTTGGACAGGGGTGATTATCAGTCCAGCTGGGGGACGCAGTCATGCTGGCCCGGCTGGCACAGTGGTTTCTTCGCACAAGAGCTAGGCTTTCTCCCAGACATGTCTGGGCCTAGAAGTGGGTGCACAGGGAGCGGCTAGGCGGCCCCACCGCAGGTCCTGGCAGAGAGCTTGTAGGCAGGACCCTGGGGAGCTTCTGCCTCCTCTGCCTCCTCCTGGCTTCCTCCTTCCTTGGGTCTCCTCCTGCGCCCCCTAGGTGTCAGGGCAGGGCGCTGCACCGGGGAGGGCAGTGGATCACCTGTCGACCATCTGCAGAGTCAGGGCCTCAGCTGACCCCGTCACTGGGGACCCTGGTGGCCACACAGCCAGGGTGTGGCCTGCAAGTGTCCCAGAACACTGCAAGTGGTGGAGGTGGGCCCCGGGCTGGGGCTGTGGGGGCCCTCCTGTGCCACGTACCCCCTGCTCACTCTGGCTTCTCCTGCAGGTGACACGGGGTCCGATACGCCGCTGACCAGACGCTCGTCTCCGCGGGAGGTCCCGCTGGCCCCCGAGAAGCGCC